AGAGAAGCTAACCTTAACGGAAAAACTCAAAAGAGACCAAGTAAGCAAAGGAAATCTAGACTTGGTCTATTATAGTACTGAGTTATAGGTTGTAGATTTTTTTACTAAACTATTGAAGGCAGATAGATTCGATGAGTTAAGGGAGATGTTAGGAGTTATGTCCTTGAAATATTTGAATTAAAGAGAAATGTTGAGTATTATAATTCAAAAGTATAGTCTACATATATCGTTTGTATATAGTTTGTGTATTTAGTTTGTACATATAGTTTAAAGGTTTAGTTTATGCATGTATCTTATAATGGTATAATTTGATAGTATAATCTGATGATATAATTTGTAAATATTATTTATATATCTTAGTCTAACAGCATTATATGTTTGTATTATCTACTAGTGTACTTTATAAATATATGTTTATAATATTTTTGTTCATTAATAAGAAAGATAAGTAGTCACGTGTAATATAAGTGTTTAGGGTTTAAAATTTTTCTTCACTTAGTTTTCACTCTCTTGTTCTTTATTATAAGTATATGTGTTTTTGTGTGTGTCATCTTCAACAAATTTTAGTGGAATCTGCCCTGCATTTTTTCATTTACAAAATTTGAAACCAAACATTTCTTAAAGTGATCATACCCATTTCTATACTATCAACTTGTTGATCCCAACTAGTTAATTAATGTGATATTTCTTGCGTGTTCTTCCTACGGCTGAAACAAAACCACGTAAATATGTAATTTATGGCTGCAACATATCCCAATCATAATATGCATGTTCAGACACAGATATATATGCAAATTGAGGCAACGCGTAGTTTTGAGAATTATAGAGCAGCCAAGATAAGGAACCAAAAGGTCAAGCATATCATGAAGGTTTGTAGCATTTAGACTCTCCTAGACAGTAGTCACGAGAGATGTACAAAGAAGTGAGAAAGAAATCGACAAGAGATAGAAAGAGACACGTACAAGGAGACTTCTCATTTACGTTAGCAATCTCGTCATAGAATTATTGTCAAACAGCTCAATTAATGCTCATAATATAATTCTTTCTCTTTTTTTTATTAATATTTTTTTGTGTTCCAACATAGTTGTAATTGCATCTTCGTATAATTATTACATGGTTCCAAACAATCTTTGCATTTATACTTGATAAGAAAAATTCCACCCGAGAAAGTGGTGGGTGATTTCTTTGATATGCTATTTTTGTGCAAGATAGCAAAATATATAACTTGAAACGACATTTGGTTCCTCTATTTTTATCAAACAAATGGATATGGTTTGTTTTGAATTTGATGCGTGCAAGAGATGCCAATTGTTAATTGTAGTGGTTTCATATTTGATTAGATTAGGCTGCTCTCCATTTCAGGCGTGCTTTTATTATTTAACTCCCAATAATTTCAAATTATAAAATAATATAATCCTGATATATATATATATATATGCTTGATTAAAAAAGAGAAAGAGAGAGAAAGACAAATAAAGAATATGCATCAAAAGGATAAAAAAAATTTCTTTTGATCACATATCAATATATAGAATAAATTTATTAAGTATGATAACATTAAATGTAGTAACAATAATGACAATAATAATATAAATAGTGATAATCATGACTGTAATAGTAATGTGAACATGATAGTAATCGCGACAATGTCAATTATAAACATAATAGTGATATAATAATAATAATGATAATAATGATAATGATGTGGTGACAGTAACAAAGAAATGGTAGTGGTTGTAATTGGTGACGATAAAAATAATAATGATAGAAACAATCATGATAACCATGAAACATAGTAATTTTAATTATTATATTCAGTATCAAGACGAGTATACACTTACTTGTGTCATATATCCATCCTCATCATCACAAATTTCAATTATGTGTAGTTGTTTACTTTTTTTTATAGAATTTACTTAAAATTTATGTAATTCTTTTTTTTTTTGAAATTATGTAAAATAAAACTTAATTAATATAATTTTGTAATTGCAACTCTACATATTTATGTTTTTTAATATATTATTTTACAAAAGAAAATATTCAATTAATTTCTAAGCGAATACAAATTATATATCCATTAAGTATTGGGGACAAGAATGGATATAAAATATAAACTTAAAGATGGAGACATGAATATTAAAACTTACATCTATTTTGTCTTGTTGTCATCCATATTCTCATGTGACCTCATGTAATACACATGAGAACTCAAGTAATCCATATTTAAAATAAGCAAAATTTGTTGTGGTCCTTGTATTTCTTTTTGTCATCACCCTCTAAAGTTTAAAATTATTATTTTTAGTCTCTCATATTCATTTTAAGGTTGATAAATATCACTTATTTTAAAAAAAATTACATATTGACATAATATTATATAGTTATGAGTATCATTTAGATTATTATTTAATCTTATAATAACACAAATAAATAGTTAACAATAATCATATATTAATAAAGAATAAAAATCTCATTCCAAAATTTAACGAAATGAAAAAATATAAGAATGAAAATTAAAACTTATTCATTTTAAATCGATTAAAAACTTAGTTAAGTCAACTCCACAAGAAGAGTAAAAAATAAAAAATAACAAATCTAAAACACTGTTTGATACATAAATCCATGACAACTTAGACAAATCTTGATTTTATCTTCAGTTTTGAAAATTTAATATTGGAAAAAGTTCATCAATAATATGGATCTAACATAGTACCTCACTCCCTTATTGGTACAATTGACAGCTAATTCTGAAACATACCCATCATTCTCATTTCTCATCCCATGTCATGGTCGGTTTTTCTCTCCTGCTTTTCATACTCTCCTTCTTTTTGTTGTCAATCAATCTACATTATCTGGGTACCAAAAATAATTAACAATTAGTATCCACAAATATTATGGGATATCTAATATGGAATAAAGTGTGGAAAAGAAACCATGTCTCGAGTGAAAGTGTGAATGGAGCCTTTGGTGGGCCAATACTAAGAGAGAGAGAGAGAAAAGGGCTCAAAGGATCCAATCCAAAACACTTGACTTCAAAATGGACTCTGACCCATGTGGGCCCATAATATGCTAATTAATACTTCATAGCATCAGCATGCACCAAATCACATGTACGACAACAAAAATACTAATGCACGGAGAAGACTTACCATATAACAATCACAATATGACTCTTTTGCATCCAATGTCAAAAGTTTTAACTTGGAAAATCATACACATTTTTATTAATCAAGGATTAAGTGTATGCATAAACTATAATTTATTCACAAAAAATTGAACTGTCACTGTCCATCTTGGTCATCAGCAAATTTTTCCCACAGTTAGGGTGTGGACTTATTCCTCTTTTTTTTTTTTTTTTTTTTTTTTTATATATATACTTATATACATCTTCTTAAACTATTCCATTTTTTCACCACCTACCTAAGACCAAAGAATCGTACAGAAGACTTTAAAAATTTAATTTCACACGTAATATACTTTTTTGTCAAATGGTAGTTTGTATTTTTTCCTTTTGTAATTTTAAATAATTAGACTCAATCGTGGTAATACTATTTCCAGGATTTATTGTCTCATACTTGAACTTCTTGATTGCAAAAATTTCGATCTTAAGATATAATAAGTCTTGAGATAATAAACTTATGTGACAAGAGAAGGAGTAACAAGAACATGTGTGGTTGAATATTGAAAAAAATAGTAGTGGTAGGTCAAAAAGTAAAAGTAATGAGAAAACAATAGACTTGGTAATGGTAGTTAAAATAGAATAAAATTAAAGTAGAAGACTTGATGAAGCAAAAAAATTAAAATTGATTAGTTGATAAGAGAGACCAAGTCGAATTATTTTTAATTCTTTGTGAGAGGTCGATCAAGTCAAAATGCCATCATTGCAAATAAGGTTTAAAGATCAAATTATTTTTAATTAAAAATAAAATTAATTTATTATGCTTTACTCAATGGGACTACTTTTGATATGATCCGAATTATGAAATCATGCACATTATTTTTATGGATCGTCCTTTTGTTGATTTTTTTCTTCTCTGGTCAATGAATCCAAGAAGAAAGACATATAGAAACTTTATATGTATGATTCTTTAATCCTTGTTATGTTGGCATACACTTTTATATTGTTGGATGAATGAATAAATAAAAAATTCAAGCTTTTATAATTTTGTATACTAACATATATATATATATATATATATATATATATATATATATATATATGACTCACATAATTTTTTTTTACATAATTAAATCTATCTAATTCTCTCATTTCTACTAATAATTTTACATACTTTCTTTTTCTTATACACTCATATAGTATCTTAAAGTTTCTTCTTAAGCCAAATAAACATATTATTTTTTATAATTTAATTATTTTATAATAAATATAATTATAACTTAATAAATAAGTTATTGTTAAAATTTAAAGATCTGAGATGATTATAGTGGAATCCATTTAGTAACTTTTATAAAGGTGTTGAATTAAAAATGTTAGATTCTTGTAGGATTAGTTATATTACGAAGACTAAATTATTTGTTTGTTTGATCAATTTATTTAATTTGTTCTCTTTATTATTAAAAGATCTAATGAGGTCTTTTAATTTTGTAAACAGTGAAATGTGGTATTTTTTGTCTAACTATCAAAGGATATAGACAATAGACTTCTAGAAGGAAGTTGATAAATCACCAATTCTACAACTTTGTTATTTCCTTTTCTGCAATTCTATTATTTGCTTTTGCCGTCCCTGCAACACCCGACTGCCATTTTCCTTATTTTTCCACTACCTTTGATTCTTTGTACAACTGCCTTATTTCTATTGGGGTAGTACAAATTCTATAAGGCCAGCCTAGGTAGCACATTTTCTTCTATATAGGCCTTCTTTATTCCTTGTAACATGACAAGAGAGAAATGCAGTGAAATATTCATCTCTTATTATACTGCCTTTATTCTGTTATGGTATCAGAGCTCTGATTTTTCAGAGCTCTAGGTGCTACATTCGCATATGGTAGGAGCCAATGACCCCTCACAGGACCTTAGCTCACCCTATCATGTTAGTTCATCAGATAATCCATCCTTTCTCATTGTCCCAAATCTTCTTGAAGGGCCAAACTATCATCATTGGTCTCGATCTTTTCGTATGAGTCTCATCTCCAAGAACAAGATAGGCTTCATTGATGAAAGCATAGAAGTTCCCAGTTGCACCAACCTATTGTTCTCAGTATGGCAGAGAGCTAACATGCTGGTTGTTTCTTGGATACTCAAGGTAGTGTCACCCTCTATTGCTCAGAGCATTATCTGCATGGATAATGCCTTCGAAATATGGAATGATCTCAGAGAAAGATTTTCGCAGGGAGATATGATTGGTATTGCTGATCTCCAGGACATGATCTCTTCTTTTAAACAAGGAGAGTTGAGTGTTACGAACTACTTTACAAAGCTCAAAATACTATGGGATGAGCTCAATCTCTTCCGGCCATTGCTTGCTTGTTCATGTGCCTTTAAATGCACCTACAATGCTCTTGGTAATGTTACAAAATATAAGACACAAGATCAAGTGATTAGGTTCCTAAGGGGACTTAATGATAATTATTCAACTGTAAAAACTCAGATTCTCCTGATGGATCCTTTACCATCCTTGAATCGAGTTTTCTCCCTTGTAGTGCAGCAAGAGAGACAGATCTTTGGTGAACAGTCCAACCATCCAAAGGCCATGGCTGTTGCTGGCAAAGGTTACAGAAACAACTTTGGAAGAGGTAATGGTTCTGAAGGAGGCAATATGCCTCAAAATAAGACAGACTATGGTCGGGGTAACAACACAAAAGTGTGCAACCATTGTGGGAAAACAGGACACACCATTGATACATGCTATAGGAAGCATGGTTTTCCACCGCATTTCAAGTTTAAAAATCAGAACCATGATCAAGGCCATGCTAATGCAGTTCTTTAAAATACTGATCTGGCAACAGAAAGACAAGATTATAGAGGTCTGAAGGTAGAAATGCAGTCACAGCAAATTGGTTTCACTCCCGAGCTAAGATGAATACTATCAACTAAATCCAATATGAATTGTTATTTAACTAGAAGTTACACTATCTATGTTTAGGGTTAATAGTTGTAGGTTTAGTCTAATACAGCATAAAAGCTAAACCGTAATCTGAAAACCACAAACCATAGACATAATATTATTATTTTCGGTCTTTATAGTTTCACTTATTATTTTATAGTTTTTGTAATTTTAAATTATTTAAAAATTTTAATTTATATAGTTATTTTGTCCAATTGTTATTTATTTTTAATATTGAGTATATAAATGTTTTAGTAACAAAAAGACACAATACTTATAAAAACTTAAAAAATGTATGATATTAAAATATATATTAATTTTTTTGTTAACGTTAAACGGTTTAGTAACAATAAAACATAAAATGTAATCCCTAAACTGAGAACCCCAAACCATAAACCATAAATTGTACACACTAATTTTATTTTATACCTTTTATAGTTTCACTTATTTAGTTATAATTTAGAATAAATTAAAAAGGTAGTTATCTGTATTTTATATACGTATATTATTCAATATATTTAATTATGAATATTTAATATACATGTTTTAGTGAAAAAATACATATAAAAATACAATATTTATAAGTACATATAAAATATTTTGTATTGCTTTCTTTTGTAGTAAATTTATATGAATCAATGTACATGTTTGAGTTTCAAGTGTAGTGAAATAGTATGACTACACACATCTACAATGACAGTTGCTTATAAGTAACTTTCATGTATTTTAAATGGTTCGAACTGTGCCTCATGACCTAGAACCAATTCATACTATATTTTGACAATTTTTTGTGAAATGAAAATTGCTTATAAGCACGTTCACTTTTTTATAACTCATAGTACGATTTTTGACAACTGACCCTAGATTTTATGATAAATTTTTATAAAATTCATTATTATGGATAATAAATTTTAAACTTTATACTAATTAACCACCTACAGTCGTTGGTCTTTGAAAATTTGATAATACTTATTTATTGAAAATTATAAATTAATTTTATGAATTTAGAAAAAAAAAAGTTGAATTTTTAAAATTAACACTGAAATACAAACTTCTCATGCACTATTGATGACGTCCCAAGGCAGCATACGACAATTATACCAATATTTAATAATAATTTTGCAGCAAATGAAAACTTAACAATCAAAATAAAACATTAAATTACAGTCATCCACATTAAAAAATAACATAGACTTAAAATACAATAATGTTATCATCATTAAGTCATATATCCTTTTCAATGACCTGAAAGAAACATGGAACAAATAATTAATAAATAATAATAATTGGTTTATATGCAATATTAAAATGTTATTAAGTTATATTTAAGTGTTTATACTCACCCGTTGCACATTATTTTTGGTTATGTTCAAAAAGTATAGACCACGGATACGGGCTGGGGCAAAGACGACAATCTGAAGAAAAGTTAAACTAAATGAATTGAACAGTTAAGTAAAATTTGATATATTTTGTTATAGTACAAATATTACCTGCTTCAAAACTAACACACAACCAACAACAATGTGTTGTCCGTATTGTGGGTGCTTCTTTGCTTTGTAATGTAAGCTTGCCCCAATCGTTGCAGTTGGGTCCTAAATTAAACAAAATGTTATAATTAAAATAAATAGATTTTATTAAGTTTAGCAAAGTTCATTAATCATACCTTCAAATTAATTGTATAATTGCCCTTGCCTGTTGGGGTCATCGAGTGCACAAAAGCAACAACAGTTGGAACTCTTTCTAAATTATGGTCTATGTTAATCAATGGTGTCACTTATGGTAGCCCTATTGTTAATAAACACATACAAAACATTATTTTAATTGCGTTGCAATATTTAAAGAGAGAGCTGAATAATGGAAAAAACCTCTGGATTTGACTTAATGAAGAGCATAACGCCACGGGTTAGTGTTGAAGACCATGTTGGCAAGTCGCCCAATATTTGAATGCAACTGTTGCGTTGGTAAAGGATTATCAGACTGCCTGTTCCTGATCTCAGCTTGCACCAAACCAGTAGGTCCAGGAATAATAATGCCTATGTTACATGAGGTAAATGTGTCGTCATCATTGTCATCTCTAAGTTCCTGCGGTGGTGGTGATAATGGAGACAATGGCTGTTCTTGTGTAGCCTCAGCAACTTTCTTAGCTGCCCTAATCCTTCTCCATTGAGATAGTAATTATTGATGTATGATTTCTTCCTCTGAGCAAAGTAAGTCTTGCTCCTCATCGCTGTCTGGCACGTAATCCACTCCTCTACGAGACATTTCTAATATAATATAAAAACAAATTTTATTATAATAATATTATTTGATTTTGTAAATTATTTAATATTTATCATGTTTTTCAATTTAAATAAAGACATTAAATTTCATGTACGGTTTTTAATTTACAATATTTAATTAGTACATTGAGTATATATATATATTTATGATATTTATACTATTTAATAATTTACTTTAACATGCTACGTAGATTTATTTAAATTAATTCAAATCATTTAACTTATAATATGTTTAAAACAATATAATTTCAGTAGGGTGAAGAAATTTCCTACGTTATATTTAATAATTTTAATTTTTTACTTAAATGTGTTTATTATAAAAATTAAAATACTGGTTACATATATTATTTATATTAACTTACAATATAACTTACATATATGAAAACACAGATTTTTTATATTAAAATCTAAAAACTTAATTTTGAATTTTATGTTACATACTATTTATTAAGTACCAATTTGATTACAATATGGGTTATAATAAATATAGTATTGTATTTTAATAAATACTTGACATACTTGACATACATGACATTTGATTACAACATTAATTTAAGGATAAACTCAAATATTTAATTTTTATATTATACTTACTTGTAAAAAGTAGTGGTAAATAGATGAAATTTTTTTGTAACTTGCAAACGAACAATAGAAATATATTCACAAAATATATAACAAGTATGAATAATTTATATTATTGTGATATAAATATCATATATAAAAAGGTAAATTAATAGAAAAATAATACTTACAGCAACGAAGTCTACCGGAGAACAAAAAATTTACGCAAAGCAAAGGAGGAACACTTCCGGGAGAGAATGAGAGGCATGATGTATAAATAGAGAAACTGGAAAATAGAAAACACACAGTGTCCATGCGACATTAATGGAATGGTTGGTCAAAGGCTGTTGATAAGTCAGGTGATGCAGTGTGACACCCTCTACCCCGACATATATATGAAACATATTCTTGGTTTAAATAAAATCTTTATAATTAAAACAATAAATTCATTAACATAAGAGTAGAGGATTCACATTCGTATACTTCAAATATAGTCAAATGCGGAATTTATAGCAAAATGAATCTTTTCCAAAATAGAATAACAATAAGGAATCCTAAACTAAATCTAGTTATGCCTCGATGTCACATATCCTATCAGAGCATGCCCAACTGAAGCCTAAGCCTCACCACCAACATCCTCATACTGATGATCACCTGCAACACAATCTAAACACAGACAAATGACAACAAGGGAGTGAGAAACATCTCACTCAGGTTCAAGTGTAGAAATAAAGGTTAGATAGCACACACACACACAACAAACATGAGTCACAAGTACAAATCACATGTAAACAATACGCATACACAATCAATATCACTTGCACACTCATTTATCATGTAATGATGTCATGGACTCGACTCATAAATGCATGCATGTGGCGCCATACAGAAGTTTCACA